AAATCGCCCTGAGATACGTCACGGAATATTCTACGCGGCAACGACAGCGGTACGACAACACGGGCGGTATTCGCTTTCGCGATCCTTCGCGCACGCGGTCGATATTCGACGGTCAATAGCTACGCATACAGAACACCCGAAACGCGGAGAGAGACGAACGTTGCCTTATCAATTTAACGCCGACGTTACGATGGTCCTTCCTCGGTCGCTTGCCTCCGGTCGCCCGACAAAATCATGAAAAATCACCGTCTCGGCACTGGGCCTGAGCGGTCGCAAAACACGAAAAAGATGGCGACGGCGGCAGAACGGCCGGCACGCGGACGAAATCGCGTGCCTTACACGAAAAGAAGGGCAACCTCACCGATAACGTTTCCTCCTGCAGGGGATGGTCCTCGGTCTCGTCTTCTGCTCGGTCTCTTTATCAGCGACAGACATCCGTTTCACAAACGACAACGACAATAATTTGCAAAAGCGACTGCTCGCAATTAGCGCCCGCATCAAAATGATCCTGGGATCTCGCGGTCCGGGGTCGATAGCGACGTCAATGACCGCTTAGTAGGGTGCGCAGCCCCGCGGCCAATCAGGACACGGCACGCAAGAGGTCCTAGCGCCTCGCGAGATCCGCGGCGCTTTAGCGCTTCGCGCGCAATTAATTTGATTTGAATTGTTAAATTGCTGTCGCGGGCCCATTTACAAGGGAGACTCCGCTGTCTCTTTCTTCTTTTGTCGATTTTCTGTTACTTTGTGGTCCTTGATATTTTTCTCAACGAAAATTTAATTGAAGGTATTTATCTTTTTCTTTTCTTAATAAATATTTTATCACAAATAAAGTTTAAGAGTATTTTATTTTATATTATATTATATTTTTAATATTATTTTTTACATTTTTATTAATTTTTCACAATAAAACATTTCACAAATTTGAAGTTATGAGGTTATGAGAAAGTACAAGAAACATAAAAATATAATTAATTATTAGTCCAGCATTTTAAAGCATGCGCGCATAAATTTATTATCTATTTAATAAATAAAAGTTAAACAGAGTTTTTTTATTTCTATGCTAACGTAAATTTACCTCAAAGTTGTGAATTGCATATTTTTGCTGTACTTTATCGTGAGCTTTATATTTGATATATATAAAGTATTGCCATTATTCTTATTTGTAATTTCTATGTTGCAACATAGCCTCTAAGGAAGATTTTTACATCAATTATTACTACTTTCAGTACAAGGAAAGAGCTGGAGCAAAAGATTTATTTGCGTATCTATCTGTGCATCTAGAAGGACGATTAGTATTACAAGAAAAGAGCTGCAGCTAAAGATATGTCTACGCGTCATCTCTGCACCTAGATAAACATAAAGCATATACAGGTAAGTATGATCTCTTAAATATTGCATGTATATTTATAGATACACGTATATATTATATATATACAGAGTGTTTCACTAAATGTGGGCAATGTCTCTTGTACTCTATCTGTATCTAAGGATGATCCTACTTGTGGCTCCGACTGCTTTTTTTCTTTCTTTTATATATAATAATATAATCTGTTAATCATTCTGGCACTTCAAATCAGATGTATCTAATCTAAAATCAGAAATTTTTTTAATTGATACGATTGAAAATCAACTTCAGTGTGGTTTTCGACTGTCTACAATACTCACTTGGATAAGTCACAAGTAGAATCATCCTTAGATAGAACATTGGATATGTAGCGAATAGGTAAAATTATCCTATAAATTTATAAATTTTTTTATAATGCATCTTTATCGAGGTACTTGTTATTGAAATTAAAATTTGAAAAGTATGTTTCTAAAATAACTTTTATATTACTCTGTAGATTTTAATAATTTATAATTATTTTTATATTAAAAGTAAAAATTTCTAAAACAGAGAGTATTAAATTACTTGATATCTTTTGTTTTATTTCGTAAAAGTTAACTATTTTCAAGAAAACACATTTAAACGATACAAAGTACATTCAGATAATAGAACAATAATTTTGAATAAAATAATACGAAATTGTATTGATTGTGTTAAAATTTATTAAAATGAAATAGATTTAGCCGAAATTAAAACAACTTTTAACCTTTAATAATTTGATTTTAATATTTATTTATTTAGGTATAATTAGGTAATATTTGTGTAAGCACAACAATTCTACGTTCATCATGCCTAAAGATGTAAGGTATTTATCACAAAGACGAAGGAATCAAATTATTTATTACACTTCACATAATAGTAATATTTCATTAGAAACCGTTTTACCGAATGTATGATCTAATAATGTAGTAGAAGAAACGGCAAAAAGCGTAAATTCTGATAAAGTTTTTTGTAACAATAATATATCATTTGAAGATAGAATATACCAATCAGATGAATCATCAGAATCATCAGTAGAGTTAGAGTCACGATTTGAAAACAATGAAAAATATACTGATCTATAAGATAATATTGCATTGACAGACAACGAGCAAAGCTTACGGGAAGATTTACAAAGATTAATTATAAATCATAATATACCTCATAGTACTGCTAATGAATTACTTAAAATATTAAGAAAACATGGTCATGTAGAATTGCCTGGTGATGTTAGAGTTTTAGTTCATACACCACGTAACGCGTCAATAAATATTAAATGTATGGGTAATGATCGGTATGTACATTTTGGTGTTGCTTCTGGTCTGAAACGATCCATAGAAATTTATTCCAAATTTATTAAGACAGATGAAATTAAAATAAACATAAATATAGATGGTTTACCAATTTCAAAAAGTTCTGGTAGTCAATTGTGGCCTATAATGGCATCGATTGAAAATATTAGTATTCATACATCGCCATTTATAATTGGTATGTATCACGGTATGTGTAAATCGAACGATGCAAATGATTTTCTCACCGATTTTATTAACGAATTTTTGTTTCTCTCCGAAAATGGCATAATTGTTTGTAACAATAAATATAAAGTTAGTATTAAGGCAATACTGTGTGATACTCCAGCCAAATCATTCATCACTTATACGAAAGGTCACACAGAATATTTTTCATGTACTAAATGTATACAAGAAGATGATTTCGTAATGAATAGAGTAACTTTTCCTGAAACTAATAATATTTTACGTACAGATGACTCATTCAAAAATCGAACTCAAATTGAACATCACACAGGCGATTCTATATTAGAAAAGCTTTCCATCGGGATGATTTCACAAATTCCGCTCGATTATATGCATCTTATTTGCTTAGGTGTTACAAAACGGTTGTTGACATTATGGGTAAAAGGAAATAAAAATAACAGATTACGTGAAGAAAATATTAATTCAATTTCGCAACATTTGAATATTAAACATTGCATTCCTTCTGAATTCGCAAGAAAACCTAGATCTTTAGTTGATATTGATAAATGGAAAGCTACGGAATTACGTCAATTTTTGTTATATACTGGAATAGTAATTTTAAAGTCAACCATTCCTCCGATTTGGTATAATCACTTTCTTTCCCTTAATGTTGCGATAAGAATATTGGCTGATCCAGAAATATGTACGATATTTGTAACTTATGCACATTCGTTATTATTATGGTTTGTTTCTAATTACGGGACTATTTATGGTGAAGAATATCTGTCACATAATGTTCATAATCTTATTCATATTGCTAATGATATAAAAACCTTTGGTTATCTTGACAATTTTAGTTGCTTTAAATACGAAAATAATATGCAGAAAATTAAAAAGAAATTGCATGAATGTGGAAAGCCTTTAGAAGAATTATCAAATCGCCTATTTGAAGAATTACAGCAACCAATTATACTGTGCTCTGTCGTACATTATCCGATTGTTGTTTATACAAGTAAAAATAAAATTTCGTATAAAATTTCAATATGAAAATTTCAAAATTGCAATAACTGAAAATGATAAGTGTGCTTTGCTTAATGATAATTCTGTAGTTTTTATTTTGGATGTAGTTAAAGAGGACAGTATATTATTCTTTCGTGCAAAACGTTTTTTAAATCCAAAATCTTTTCACTATACCATGTGCTTCAGAAAAACTAGGTATATATGTCATTTTAGACACAACTGCTTCAGAAATCATAACAATTCCATTAACTAAAATAAAAAAAAATGTTTAATATTGAAAAATATAGATCAGGACGATTCTTATATTATAATTCCGCTTCTTCATACTAACAATTAGATGCGCGCTGTACATTTTTATAAATTTGTATTTTTTGTATGTTTTGTATTTTTATGTGTTTTACTTGTCAATAATCCTAAAAATAGATTGTAAATAAAATGTAAGTTATTATAAAACATATTCCTTTGTCTTGAACTATAGTAACATTTCAAGAGCCTTACATTCCCTGTAGTTACATTCAATGTAACTGCAAGGCTCCTGCAATGTTACTGTAATCATCTGTGCTGTATAAGAAGTAATGTTAACTTGTATACTTGGAAATTTGCAAATTTTATTTTATATTGAAGGAATTATAAATAATTAATAAGGTGAGTTAAGTACTTTCAAGTATGCTGTATTAATATTTAATTTTTTAATTTTGCAATGCTTTATGTACTTAAATCTCATGAAAGTATAAGCAAAACCGCAAAATTACAATTTTGATTGATTGATAACTTAATATAAGAGATTACCTTTAAACACAAATTTTCCACTTGTTTTACTTTATGTAAGATAATACATTAATTATACAAATTTAACATTAAAATAATATAATTTTCTTTATGTCAAATCAATCTGCTTTTGCCAATATAATATAGTTGACATCATTAAATGTACATATTTTAATTTGTTAAATAATTTTACATACTAAAATATACTGTTTCCTTTTACAGATTATATTGAAAAATGGAAAATCGTGGCAAAATAGTACAGACATATGCAGTTGTCAAATTTATTGTAGACGATCTATATTCCGAGGTGCCAATATCGTGGCTTCAACGCAAGGACAATAAGCAGCTGTGTTATTGGCCGCCACGGACAATAAATGTTACCTTTGATAACCAACTATACAAATCCGAATGTAGAAAGTTGGAATCTATATGAAGTTGACGTCATAAAATACTGCAGTACTTATGCGTTCATATCTTCAGTATATGCCTTGTTATTATATTACACTATCATTAGATCATATAAGTTAAGATTGAATATATTATTATTATTGTTTTTATTATTAATATTATTATTCTTAACGCATACGCGCGTAGATTAATGTATATATCAATTTTTTTGTTTTTATAGCATCTTTAGAATCTGCAAGAAAAAGTGCAGCTGACTCCAATTATGAAACAACTGATGAAGATAGGCTGGGACGTGGTAAAAGACAACGCATTTCATATAATCGATTTAGCAGTGAAGAAGAGGAAAATGATGTACCGCAATCATGTAAAACTTATAAGAGTATGTATTACAAGAATGTTTTATTATATTTAATATACAGGGTATCTGACTGCTCCCGCAAGTCTACTCGTGTGCAGGTAGATTAATACAATTAAATCAAACCAAACACAAAAGTCCTGTACCATTTTGCAAATAACCATGTAAAAATTTGAGTTATTAATTAAAAAAGATGGTAAGTAATCGTGCGTGATAATTCATTAATCCATTTTATGTACTAACTCTAAATAACACGTAGTAATTTGTGGAAGTTTCTAAATGGATTTAGAACAGAGAGAACTTTTGTGTTCAGTTTGACTTCATCTACTTGTACACGAGCGGACGTACAGGAACAGTCAGATATCTTGTACATTATAATTATGCATTAGTCTTTGATTTCTTTATTTTACTTAAAATAAAATATAATTTAAATATATTTTTGCATTCTTCATTTGGGAAGATCCCAGTTGCGCACCGAATGAAACGGACATAACCAATCATATCGACCGATGCTTAGAAGCCTAGCACGGTTGACCAATAGAAAGTCCGAGAGAGTTCTGTGTCCGATTTATTCTGTGCGCAACTAGGCCTCACTCCTTCATTTTATGAAAACTGTACATATTTGAGTAAATAGAGTTCAAATATTTGATATGTATTTATTAATAGCTATACAAATCTTTTAAGGTATTTCTAAACATTAATAATTCCTACAAATTAACAGTTATCTCGTTTGTTCGGAAGCTTTTGTAAGATAGAGAAAAGTGAAATAAGATAAAAGTGAAATAAGAAAATGAATAACTTTTTTTATTTTTAAGTGTTACAGAAAAAATATTTAAAAAATATTTTTTACAGGGAAAGCAAACAGTATGAATAAAATGTCTGCTATTCCAGCCTGTCCGGACAATTTAAGATTAAACAATAATAATGAAAACAATGTAAATGATATGAATGACTTTCCACTTTCATAATCTTATGGTATGTATATTATGTATTTAGTACTATTATTATATATTTTTTCATTATTATAATGCTATATATATTTGCAGAAAAAAGGAAGAGTTCCTTCAACAATCCCAGTTCAAATTCTGAACCCAGTGAGAAAATAAATATTTCTCAATTGCCCATAATATTAGAAGGTATACATATTATTAAAATGAATAAAAATTATAGTTATTGTAATAATTATAGTTATAGTATAATATATTAATGTCTCAATATTATAGACGGTGCTCCATTATCTGCTCCATTTGAAGGAATGAGAGGATATCTAGAGGATTCGAATATGAAAATAAGTATGTATTAATATATACATATGATGGCTGTTAATTAAGTAAATTGTTAATTAAGTAGCTACATGTATAAAAGAAATACAATTCTTTATTATATTCTTTCAATGTTATGATCAAATTTTTTCAAATTTGTGAGAGTCACTGCGTTCCATCAGCGCAGTGTTTTCTATCAATATCCAATGATTCCCATAAAAATTAAACAGGCACAAGACATAACAGAAGGAATGTAATAATAATTATTAGTAAAAGTAGAAAAGTAGTTTATTTTCTGCTATTACTTCACTAAAAGGCGTCCACGATGCTAGAAATTAGTCCAAATTTTTGGATATATATATATATATATATATATATGAATATATGTATGTGTATATATATATATATATATATATATATATATATATATATATATTGTGACGTGGCCGTCACGTCGTGTACATCCGCCCCGGCAATCTTGACGGGGCGCGGGCCGAGTGGCCGCGTCAAGGGTCAAGAGAGAGAGAGAACTATCGCGCTCCCCGGAGAGACGAGTGACTCCATGTTATATTGCGTATATTATTAATTTTTCTGCTATCTTTTTGCTTTGTATCGATTCGAGTCTGAGGCGCCTCACCACCGAACACCGAAGACCTGGGGAGAACGGCATCACCTCCCCACGACAGCGAAGAACGACAGCCAAAGGACATTCCTGAGAGCGGAGGATCCTGTCCCGGAAAGCCCGGCATCGTGGGTCCGGACAGGGGAGGGCAGCATAGCCTCCCCTCGACAGCCGGGAATGACAGCCGCTGCGATAGCCATCCTCCTGGAGAGGATACGTCCGGGAAGGACCTCACCCGGGTCATATAAGGGCCCGCGGCAACATTCAAGCTTGGCGCTATTTCGCGCCGGGCGCGAAAATGCCTCGCGTGGCGCGCGAGGCGCCAGGACCTCGCGCGTGTCGGCCGCTAATTGGCCGGGGGTCCGCGCATCCCCCTGCGCGGCCAGCGACCCCGCTATCGACCCTGGATCGCGAGATCCAGGGATCACTTTTGTCGCGGCCGCTCGCCTAAGTTAGTCGAAGAGAAAAGTAATCTGCGTAGTATTGTTCTGTGTGCTCTCGAGACGGAAAAGACCGTGAAGGACGAGACCGAGGATCATCCCCGCAGCCGGGAGAAGACTTCATCGGTGAGGTTGCCCACGAATTAATGTACTCCGCGAGCATGATTGTGTCCGCTCGCCGGCCGTTCTGTCGCCGTCGCCATTACAGCTTATCGCGACCGCTCGAGCCTTCTGCCGAGTCGGTCGATTTTGTGTATTTCGGGCGACCGGAGACAAGCGACCGAGGAAGCGCGGACATTGGCGACGGAAGTGCGTATCGTAGGGTAATTCTCGTCTCTCTCCGGGTATCAGGGTGCGTAATACGCGTAGCATTCGACCATTGGGTATCGACCGCGTGCATCGTAAATCGCGAGAAATGCGTAGTTCGCACGGGCTGTCGTTTGGTTGTCGAAGCCGCGTCTCGCACCTCTGAAGGATGTCTCAGAGCGAGTCTGTGGAACATAATTAGTCGTGATTAATGCGTCCTCGTGTAGTATCATCGTCGTTCGGGAATATGAGTTGCGTGAAACTGAGTATTATTGTCGCGTCCATTGTGTGCGTGCGAGTTGTTCGTCTCGAAAGGAGGAACGTAATTCCTCGAAATTGTCGCGGTGTGCGGGTATCGCACGATTCTAAGTATTGAGATCTGAGGTCAGGAAATTCCTGGCGAATATCGCGGCTATCGAAGGAGGCGCGGTGCGGGACTGTCGCCCGGCCTTCCTTATTTCCTTGAGACGAGAAGATAATTAATTCTCACGCTGTCGAAGGTATCGGGGGTGTGACACGACATTGTCGCATCGCCCCGATTGCCAGAAATATTTAAGTTGCGAGCGTCGCAGAAAAAGGCGGAGAAATCTCCGACCGCCGCCGGCTATCGAACTTCGCCGGTATCGTCCGCCCCTCGTATGCGAGATCTCTCCTCGCGAAACTAATATCTTTTCGCTTATGGCGTAGCTGATCGGCTACCTTATTTCTGGGTTGTCGACTTCGAGTACGCTCGGAGGAAATTGCGAGATACGCAGCTAATTAGTAAGATCTCCGCGAGGTTGTCGAAGCTGCGAATTATAGGCTGGTATTATCTCTCTCTCTCTCGCGTATGGTACGACCGTTATTGAGAATTCGAATTATCAAATTCAGTTATATCAATTATTGTTCTAAGGAGCTTCGACTTTAGGAAGCCTCCGTAACAGACGTTCTTTGTTAGACCGACTTAGAATATCGCGCGTTTTCCTAGCGTTTCGAGAATTATTGTCAGTTTATGTCCAGTACATTATTTCGGTTTCCATTTTGTATCGAACTCTAATTTTTTGTTAATCACTTCTCTTATTATTTCCTCTCTTAATAAATCTGTTATTTATTTTTCTTAAATCTCGCGTTCTTTATTTGACTGGCGAACGTCCGTAATTTCTGTGTTCGTCTTTGTCTGTTAATTTAGTAAGCTCGCTCAATCAATTGACTTTTTCTTCCAAACCCCGCCCTTCTACCGTTAGGCGAGCTAGCCAGCCCGTGGCGAAGCGGGCTGTCGTATTCTTTCGCGCTTTTCGAAGAATTTGTGAAACTGGTACGTGAGAGACCGTACCTGGCGCCCAGTTCTGAGGTAACGAGACGGCCTTCGCTCCGCCGCGGCTCGCGCGTGGACATCCTCCATCCCCGTCCCGCCGATCGCGAGTACATAAAACCCTTGTGTTTTTGACGGCGCTTCCGCTCCCCCGCGAGAATCAAAATTAGAATTGAAAAAGCGTCGCAATATATATACATATATACACATATATAACATTACTCGTTGCATTGCAGACAGAAACCTGAAAGAAATATTACGTTTCCAAGCCACATCGAATTTAATATTGCAAGATATAAAAGAACGAATGTATCGAATTGAAGATGTTATGAGAAACCAAGCTCCGGTTTTAACGAAAAGCAGCGAGGATAGTCTTATTGCTGAACTATTACTCTTACAAACGATAGAAGCCATACGTAATTTTGATTTGCTGTTGCACAACACCAACGAAGCAGTGACGCAATTTGTAAGTTTTAATAGCATTTTTATTTTAATATACACAACTGTTTTATGATCCAGAGACTGGATCGCGGTGCCGCTTTCCCCATTCCAAGCGCGTGCTAGCGGCCGAGCGCCGTGAAATGCAGTACCGTCTATCGGCGCGGCGCAGACGGCATTTCACGGCGCTCGGCCGCTAGCACGCGCTTGGAATGGGGAAAGCGGCACCGCGATCTTAGCCCATATAGATATGAACTGCACATATCCCCACTTTTCTGCGTTTTCAATGAAGCCACATTAAGAGAAAGAGAGAGATATTGTTTGACCTAACCATGCGTGTGACAAAGAAGAAAGAGCAAATAAACTTTTTTTCTTTGTCACACGCATGGTCAAACAATCTTTCCCTCTTTCTCATATGGTTTCATTGAAAATGCAGAATGCGCAGTTCATATCTATATGGTCTAAGCACCGCGATGCAGCCTTTGGATGACATACAAATAGTGTTGCCATAATAATATATGGAAAGTTTTCTAATTGTTTATTTCTGTTTATAGAAACAATTTCTGTTAAGGATTGTTGGAAATAATCCTCGCGATATTATTCATCGCATTCTTTCCAAAATATTTTCCAACGAATGTGCGATAAATTGTTCATGGAAAGGCATCCGTAATAATTTCAGAGTCTCCAACTTATATTTTATTAAAATTGTGAAAAGTATGTTCTACATGTTAATTAAACATATCTATTAACCGAAATCTTTGTTATATTATTTTACTAATTCTATAATATATTATTTTTTCCAGGAGAAATTATTTTTAAACATTTAAATTTCACGGAAGTTGAATTTGATAATATAGCAGCAGAATGGCTGCGTTTTGCCAAACAACGAAAACAGAGACAAGACAAAGGAAAAGATGTCGAACGTGAACAAATTGATGAAAGTAATTAAGAAAAGTCTTATAGTACAAAATCTTATTACAAAGTCTTATAGTATCTTAGTACAAAGTCTTATAGTACAAAATCTTTATAAGCATAAATAAGTTCTCGATAAATTTAAGTTGACATTGTTAAAATATATTTATTTTAGTTTTGTATTAATTACGTGCAAGTTAGTGATCATATGATTATCATTTTGTTTTTGTGTATAAAAAGAATCATTGATCATATGATTATCATTTTGTTTTTATGTATAAAAAGAATCTATAAAAATAGAGTACAAATTTTTAGTTCTTATAGATAGATTCTTATAGAGATATAGATTCTTATAGAGAGTTCTTATAGATTTTATTTTCATTTTTATTTACGTTTTTGTCTAACAAAGTCTAAGTATAAATAAATAAGTAATGTACAAAATTAGTCAATATGTATTATACACGGTCCGTCGATTTTCGACCTAAATGAAATAAATAAGTAGATTGGCTCGAATTAAGAAGGAATGACCTGTATTGTTTTGGGATTGTCGCAATAATTAACGAAATATTAAATAAAAAAGATCGGCCAATCTGCGTGAGTAAAAGCGCGCGGCGACGAGAGTCGTCCCACCGTAATCCGATACTACGAGTGCGGCGAAGCGGTGGGCGGGTCGCTCTCCGAGACATGATGGTGGTTT